CTCATCACATTGGAACTACATGAACAAGTACTTAATTGAGGGCTTTAAAATATATAATTTGCGTGCAAGCAATGATGACGAGAGCGATACGAGTTATGAGGCAAGGGAGAAATTACTGATTTCTCTTTATCTTTTTTTTTTTCAGTTTTTTAATTTTTTTATAATATATATTTTTATATATCTAAATATGTACAAAGAGAGAAACTCTCTCTATTTTATAGTCAAAGATAGAGCTAGTAAGGGAAAGGAATGTTTGTTATTTAGAGAGAGAGGCGTAGATAAGTGTAGTTGGCCAGCAACTTGCTAAGGGATGGAGTTAGGTTATGAGAGTAGTTAGAGAAGAGAGGGAGGATGAGTAAAATTGTTGCAGCAAGGAGTATGGTTGGAGTCAGTGTTGGTGGAAGAGGGAGTGAGGAGTGGGTAGGGAAGAGCTTATGGGCTATGCAGCTAGGGGAAATCTGACGGTAGAGGGATTGGAGTGTGAGGAATGTTCACGTGGCTGAGAGGGGAGCTCGGTGATTCGTGAGGTAGCAAGCATTGGGGTTGTTTGTCAAACGAGGCTATAGTGGTGAATATAGTCGAGTTGGTATGTAATGGAGGGAGGGAATTGTTGGCATTGGCATAAAAGATGTGTAGAACAGCATAATACTAAGTTAAGTGTTGCAGAGATGAGGATGCTTAAATGGATTAGTGGCTTGATCCTTAGAGATAGGATACGAAATGAGCATATACATGAAAAGGTTGAAGTAGCTCCAGTGGAAGATAATATTAGAGAGAGTCGCCTTAGATGGTTTGGTCACATTAAACGGAGGCCTTCCGATGATCCAGTTAGGAAAGTTGAGGTATTAGATTGACTTATGTTAAGAAAGGTAGAGGTAGACTTAAAAAGACTTGGTTAGAAAATATTAGAAATGATCTTTCTTTATTAGATTTAAATGAGAATTTGACTTTTAATCGGACACAATAACGAAAAAGGATTCATGTAGCTGACCCCACGTAGTGGGACAAAGGATTGATATTGTTGTTGGCATAGAAGATTTGTGGGGGATTTTGGGTTGGTTGCTTGGGTGATATGAAAAGACGAGTTGGACTAAGTGGTCAAGCCAGCAGGCGGAGGGGACAATAGGTTTTAGTTTAGAGGATGAAGAGGTGAGGGGGAGAGCACGAGAGAAGGCGTGTGGGTAGTGGAATAGAGATGGAGATGTGTGAAGGGGTAGGAGAGAGATCAGTTACCTCTGTTAGTAGATTGGGATATTATATTTTTATTTTATTTTATTATACTTGGTTGCTATAGCATATTGAATGAATATGAGGCGTCAATTTCACAGGGATTTCATCAGAAGATATGGTAGATTTTGTTAAGAGATAATTTTTTTTTATAAATTATATAAATATAATTTAATAGTTTATTATTATTATTATACAAATAATAACGAATAAATATGAATTGGTCCATCTTCTTTTAATTCTCATTATCTGTGCTCCCTGATTTTTGATATGTCATCGACTCGGACAAGCAAATTTTAAAAAATTTGAGTCGTGCAATACCTTAGTAATATTATAGTCATTTTCAAGTATTTGTGATATTCTAGATCCAACGATGAAATCTATTTCACGAACGGACTTCATTCAGGTGTTGTCACACATCGTCGCACTTGTAGTCCGTCAATTTTGATCGCCTTCATTGAAACTAATCATGAGAGGTCCTTGGGTAATTTTGATGTTTCGAGTGTAACAAAGTAGTCAGTTTTGTGAATGAATGATGTTTGGGAAATTTTGTGCATTGTTGTGCCAGCCAACTATCGTGCTTTCATTATTGTCCGATCAAATCGTGTGCGACCAGCTCCCCTTGGGTGGATGCAACGTCTTGAATATATCAATACAATATTCCACAAATGGATGAGGTTCAGGTGATTCTGACCACGGTCGAGGCATTTTGTTACTCGTCTCACGTGATGTTGAGGGTTTTGAACTCGCCATATGCGATGTCTTATTGGTTGGTCGCCCTTCTCGACGCTTCTGCTCAAATTAATTATGATGCATTTATGTAGGTCAACACTTCTTTGTGGTTTCCCTCTCCTGATTTGTTGTACGCATTTACATGCAGACAATCCCTTATGCTACCTTTTTATTTGCAGTTTGAGTGTTTCCCTCATCCAGTGACTCCTTATAGGGATGCCCTATAGGTTAATTCATTCCACGGCTTGTTCTACACTTGTTGATACTATTTTCGTGCTTGAAGTTTGTTTGGTTATGTGTTTAGTTAATATTTTATAGTGGAAAAGCTTGTGTATATTGTTGCATTCATTATGATTGATCATTTTCCCATTTTGGTTATACTTTAGTGTGATTTATGTTTTCTCTATGGCTTTTTGAATTGTAGATCCTTTTTCTTCTTTTTAGTTGCTTCTTGTGTTGCTCTCACATTCTTTTGAGGCTTTGAGGTTTGTTATTTTATTTCATTATTGTTTTTGTGCCCACATTATAAAGTTTTTTGATACTCTATGGAATTGTTTTATGCAATTGATGACTGCTTGGGGCTAAACTGAATTTGATGATCTTAATTGGATGATGTTGGGAGGATTTGGTAACTTGGCGCATCAGATTGTTTTGTTTTCTTATTTGAGCTTTATCATTTCCTCTGGTTCACTTACTTTTACTTGATTTCTAATGGGATTATATTATTAAGGATCTTATTGTTGTCTTGCCATTTGCAAGGGGACTCTTTAATGTTATGTTTGCTTTTTTTGTTGTTGTTTTTTCTTAGTTTTTTTTTTTGGCTGATTTTTCCTCTAACTATATCATTTTGTTTCTACTCTTGGTTTCTACATTTACTTGTCATTCTTAGTGAATTATGCAATCATTTTTTTTACATATTCTCTTAGTAGCCTTTAGGGGATGCTTCTTGGTTGCTTGTTGGTGCTTTAGTTTCTTCTAAGATTGTGTTGGTTGGTGTCTTCACTGGTGGGATTTAGGGGCTGTTTGGTTGGCTGGGAAAAGAATGCAATATATTTGAAATACTTTGGAGTTATTTGGATGAGTGTAAAATAAATACGATAATGATTTTTTTTATTTGGCTTGAAGTAAAATGAATGTAGTGTAAATTATAAAGATAGGGTGGCTAGTGGTGTTGGCAGGAAGTGGTGCTGGCCAGCGACTTCCTGCCAGCGATGGTGGCGCTTGGCGGTGGCAGCAACAGACAATGAAGTTCTAGTGTATTTGGAAATCATCCAAATTGAAATAATTTCAAATAATGACTACAAGAGTTGCACAAGTTTGATCTCCTTGGAGGCAATGCTTCATCTTAAGATAATGGTTATTCTTCTAAATCCAAAATTCTTAGGCACTTAACTCTTTATTTTATTCTATTTTATTTGGAAAAGATATACGTTTCTTTTTCCTTCAAACCACTACTCAGCTGGCCATGACGTCTTCTTTTTAGAGGATTGTTGATAGTTAACTTAATCTAACTAGTGTACACATACGTGGGGTTTGCACATTACCAGTGATTGCCTTTTGCCAGATACACAAACTTCTTAGCTTTTAAGCACATCTGATATACTTAACCTTTCAAATCATACTGGTGTTGGTCATTCTGGAGGTGATCAATGCCTGCTTAGAATACATCAGATTTGAATTTCTTAACACATTTATATCTGATGAAAATTAATGTGTTTACTGCAGTTCTTGTAATTCTGGCAAATCAGTGGATGTTTAATGGTCTCAGCAAAATGTTAGAACATAACCAATTATTTGGTGGGACATGGCTTGGTGCATATGCTGCATTGTGCTTTTCTTGTGGTTACTTTGCCTATGATCAAATGGATATGCTCAGATATCGGCTGTACAGTGGTTGGTTTCCTTCGATTCTTGCACACCATCTGGTACTGCTGATTTGCTTTACACTGGCCCTGTATCGGCATGTGACCATCAACTATCTTATTTTAACTCTCGTCTGTGAGGTATGTGGAATCTCTCTGAAACTTCCTATTGTATTTTATACTTTTCATGTGTTTTAGAATCACAATCTATGCTACGTTCTAAGGATCATTCTATTTGTATATTTGATGGAGCTCTAGTAAATGGCAGCCATGAAACGTTAAGATGCTGAGAAAAAGGAATGTACCATTTTCTGATTACAGTTAGAATTATAAGTTATGTTCAAAATTAGAATATATTTAGACAGAAATAAAACATGAGTACTATGGATTAATTTTCTTGACTAAGACTCTTCAAAATCTTGAGCTTTTGCTTTATAATTCAGCATAGTTTGTCTTATCATCCTCAGGCAAATTACATCAGGATATCCTGATGCAATATTTTTTTGGCCTTAAAACTTTTTCTTTTCCTTGATTTACATTTTTGTGGTTTACCAAAATCTGCTCCAGCTAGAATAACTAACAAGCTTATGTTGCTTCCCAGTTGCACTCCATCTTTCTTCACATCAGGAAATTGCGTCGAATGGCTGGCGTTCGAGATGCGAAGAACAGCATAGTGAAGGTTGAATGGATGCTCAATTGGGCTAGCTTTCTAGCTACAAGGCTAATTTGCCACATTCTCATCACCTATAAACTCATCATCGATGCATCGAAGTTCGGCAAGGGAATCGAGCTTCCCCTTGCACTGTTTGGAATGGCTGGGATGAATTTGCTTAATGTTTCCCTTGGTCTCGACCTCTTCAAAGCATACAAGAAGGAGAAGATTCAGTAGAGGCATCTGGAACTCGTAAATTATTAAAAAAAGGTTTCTGAATTTTCTTGGCGTGTTTATTTTATTTCAATTTAACTCTTCAACTCATTAAGTTTGATTTAATTTATTATATATTTGGATGAAAACTGATGCAGGGAACATTTTCATGAGAAAATTTGGATTGTTTAGGATCAATCTCATTAGTTTCGTTGTGTATTAAATAGTGAAATTGATCCAAAAAAAATATAAAACTTTCTAATGAAAAGCTTTCCTCCATTAATTTGCATCCAAAGAACGACAAAATTGACAATGGGATTAAATTGGATAAGCTTTGATGAGCTGTAGCACTAAAATAAACACCTGAAAATATATGAAAGTAAAATGGACATGCCTAATAAATTTAGAAATCTTTTTGGACATTTATTCCATCTGGAATGCTGAATTATTACTATTGGTTTTTAATTTTACAGAAGTGGATTAGCATTTTAGATTTCAAATCATATATGATGTAAATATTTACTATTTGACATTTCTTACTTGATAGCTGGGAGGTTGATAAATTATTTTTAGAGCAATTCCTATCTTATCCTGCAATAGACACTGTTGTAATGATTTGTGTAGTTTAGCCCTGTTTTTTTTTTCTCTACTGTAGTTTCAGTTATGTAAAACTGGGATGGTTATTAACTAAAGTTAATATGTTTTTCTTTGATTTGCTCGTTTGATAATACTGTTGCAATACTGTCAGTACATCAGTATATGATTTTGCACATTTTATGTGATTTTTATCTTAAAATTTGGCACAAAATTAAGGTTTAGTTTGTGACATTTTTTTTTTGTTGATTTTTAAAATAGCTTTCTAACACAAAAATGTATTGAATTAGAAATTTTTATATTAGAAAGCAGTAAGAAAGCTATCCAAACGAAGACTAAGGCTTCGTTTGGGACGGCTTTCTTACTGCTTCTTAAAGTAGTTTTTTATAAAAAATCAAAACTTTTGAACTAGAAAGCTGCGTTAAGCAAGTCACCATAAGGCTTTGTTTGAGAATTTTTTTATTATTTTATAAAGTATTTTTTTAGACGAAGCCTAAGGCTTCGTTTGGGACGGCTTTCTTACTGCTTCTTAAAGCAGCTTTCTAGTACAAAAATCAAAACTTTTGAACTAGAAAGCTGCTTTAAAGAGCAATAAGAAAGTCAGCCAAAGGCTTCGTTTGAGACTGTTTTCTTATTATTTTATAAAGCAGTTTTTTAGTATAAAAATTTTTTTGAACGTGAAATTTTTATGCAAGAAAGTTGATTTAGAAAATAATAAGAAAGTTGTCCCAAAGAAAGAGACTAAGTTTAAATTATTAGCACAATGCTCTTTACTAACGAATTAAATGAATGGAACATTGTTTCAAATGAGATGGAGGATGACATGATCGTGTTTAAATTATGTCCATTCTATTCAAATTTTTTTTCTTGGTTCTTCAGCATTCATAAATTGTATAATCATAATAATGTATTTTTAATTTTATTATATATATTTAAATGACTCAAAATTATTTTTTTATCAGAACATCAAATATTATCTCATCCTTTGATAGAATTATTTTATAATTTAGTTTATTTAATTTTGTAACTTGTGTAATTCATTTTTTTTATTGTTTAATTAGGCTAATATTGGTGTCCATTGCATCCAAATTAATATATATGGATTTTTAGTAGGGTTTGAGCAATAACATGTCAATTTTTTTGACCAAAAACCTTAGAATGGGATTAAGGCTATGGTAAAAGAAATTATGGATGGAATTTAGGGTTGAAAATGCATTTGAATGATGGGAATTGTCTTCAGTTTTATTATGTAGTGTTTCACAGTTTTTCTAGGAGTTTGTGGTATTCATATGAAGATTAAAATATGATTAGGTCGTCGTTGATCAGCTAAATGGTTGATGGCTTCGAAAGGGTCTAGGGTTAGGGTTGTATTGGAATTTTATGATGAAGAAGATAGAATGATAGGGGTAGGGGTGTCAATATTGGACACGATCCAAAAATCCGTCTCGAACCCTACACGAAAATTCTGGGTTCTAATTAACCCGAATCCGAAACGGGTCGGGTTTGAGTCCTGATTGTTGACCCGTTTGGAATTCTGAGTCGGGTTCGAGTTGACATGGAAACCCAATTTTGACCCGTCATCCAGTCAGGCTCCTGAACCCAAATGAAGCACATGAGAGTAATAAAGTTTCCTTCACCACGAGCAAACTCCCCTCATTGTTTCCAATCAAAATGTTGTAACTTCCAATATGAATGGAAGGGAATGTCAGGGAACGCCGTCCATGGAGCGTAGTCGAACAGTGCACGAAAGGGAGAAAGTTTTTTTTACAGTGAGCGAACTCCCGTTGTTGCTTCCAATCAAAATGTTGTAACTTTCGATCCGAATGGAAGGGAACATCATCCAAGTAGCGAAGTCGAACAGAGCACGAAAGGGGGAAGTTTTCTTCATTGTGAGCGAACTCTCGTCATTGCTTCTGATTAAAATGTTGTAACTTGCTATCTGAATGGAAGGGAACGTCGTTTAAGGAGCGAAGTCGAACTGCGCACGAAAGGGAGAAAGTTTTCTTCACAGCAAGCGAACTCCCGTCGTTGCTTCCGATCAAAATGTTGTAACTTCCGATCCGAATGGAAGGAACATCGTCTTAGTAGCGAAGTCGAATAGCGCACGAAAGGGGGAAAGTTTTCTTCATAGCGAGCAAACTCCCATGGTTGCTTCCGATCAAAATGTTGTAACTTTTGTTCTGAATGGAAGGGAACATCGTCCAAGGAGCGAAGTCGAACATCACACGAAAGGGAGAAAGTTTTCTTCGCAGCGAGCGAACTCTAGTCGTTGTTTTCGATCAAAATGTTTTAACTTTTGATTCCAATTGGAAGGGAATGTCTTTGAAGGGAGAACTATGTGGGTTGGGTTCGGGTCTGAAAAATTGACTCATTTACAAAAATGGGTCAGGTTTGGGTTGACCAGAATACTGCCGGGTCAGTTTCGGGTTGGACCCGAACCCGATCCGTGACCCGATTTTGACAGCCATAGATAGGGGTAAGGTAGGAGAAGTGTCCTAAAGAAATTAGCAGTTAAGTTTATGGTAAAATGAAAAATTTATCACACGCTGCAGTGATTAGGGCTAAGGGGATCACCTGATTACATCAAATGTTGAAATTGGCCATCATGCTCTTTTTTTTTATAATAAAATCCACCAAACTTTACAAAACATGGCAATGCTTCTACTTTCATTACAACAACACTTCTAGTTTTTATATAGAAGCCATTTTTAAATCATACAAAAGGATATAAAAGAGAGAGGGGTCAATCACTCGAGTGAGTGGAAGAAAAAAGAGGGTGTAACTAATCCATGCTTATTTGGCCAACCACTCAAGTGGAAATAGCTCATTTTCTATTTATTTTATGCAAATAAAGATTTTCTAAATGATTTCAAAAATTAATTCTATCAATATTTGAAAATCTAAACATCAAACCTTAAATGTTTTAATTTTCACAATTCAAAATCCAAAATTTTAAATTCAATTTTTCCAATTCGCATATGGCCACAACTTAAAAATAAATACATAATTTTTCCATGACAATAAAAATAATAAGATTTTCATTATGCTCCTAATGATGGGTCCTTGTTTAAATGTAGCTTCCCTCTTGCTGCTAGGCACTTGTTGTTGGTCCAATTTTCTCTCCATTAGCTCATTGTGTTACATCAATTCTCTTGGACTTTAAAGGACTATTCTATGAAGAGTCAAATCAATGGAGTCATGCACAAACATTGGTTCTTGCTTCTCCAGGTCAGCTCTAGTAAATCAAGTATCCTATGTGATTAAAAATTTTCTAAATTTTATTGATGGATATCTCTCATGTCAGATTTTAATCAATGCATGATCCCCAATATTGTATTATTTGAAAGTTCTATTTTTATTTCATTCATCAGTATATTTAATATAAGTCATTTTTAATTAGGGATTTTCACATTCATAACACCAAAAATTATTGAAAATACATATTTAACACATAAACTTCTATATTTACTTATATACCACCTAAAA